CCGCGAAACGCGAAAAAATTATTTTCCTTAACACCTTGTAGCTGTCCCGATAGCACTTTTATAATAGGTTCGTTTTCCGCAGCGAATGATGTAAATGTTAATATGATTCCACTTATCACGCAATACTTTAGTTTGAGAACCGATTTCATAGTTAAGCGTCCTCACGAAGTCGTACAGTTGAATGAAACGGTAGTAACCAAGCAACGAGTTTTAACAAGCTATTTCAACAATAGAATTTTACGTAATGTTCAGTTGTGTTGATTATCAGCATAAGGCATCATAAAGTAATTAATTTGGCATAGCACGTAGAATGGCTAATTACAGCTTGGTGACGATAGTTATGACCTTATCCGCTATAACTTTAAATATCATTCAAATTATTATAATATAAATATTGTCTGTAAGACTATAAATTTCGTTTTTTAATAAGAAAAAAAGCTCATTCAGCAGCCGAAAAGAAAGTGAATTTCAGTTTAAATTATTTTACAGTGAATTTATGAATTATTAAACAATCATCGACTTAAATAAGAACAAATGTTAATTGAGAACAAAAATGTCAAAAGGAACACAACAGTAAAATTGCATTCGATCACCACCCGAGTCGAAATATCAGACCCGTTTAAGCTGTAAAAGTTTCCAAATCCTTTGTAGTTCAATTCGCTGCCTTAGAAGACGCCTGTTTTGGCAGTAAAAGTCGGAGTGAACTATGGATACAGTGAAAACAGGTCCACTGAGTTCCGTTTTCAATGTAAATTGTATCCAAAGAATAATAATAATAATGCAGAGTCGACACATCAGACCCGTTTTAGCTGTAAAAGTCGGGGTGAACTAAGGACATAGTGAAAACAGTCCCACTGAGTTCCGTTTTCAATGTAAATTTTATCCAAAGGATAATAAATAATAATAATAATAATAATACTAATATCATTATTAGTAGATTTCATAATAATCGGTGCGTATAAAATATTTTTTTTCGGGAATCGACGAATTTTCGTCTGAAATGTGCAAAAATGCAAAAAAAAAAATTTTATACGCCCCGAGACCCACCTCGGATGCCATAAAGGCGTATACTAAAAATTCTATTATTTTTTAAAGTCCGAAAGAAATTTTTACTTTAGAGAAAATTTTTTTTTTGCATTCCTGCACATTTCATGAAAAAATATGTCGGTTCCCAAAAAATAGTATATTACGACCCAAGGCACATACGTCAGGGCATCCAACATTCTGGTCATGGGTTGTATACTATTTTTCTTGCTCTCCAGCCGAAAGTACGCAACTCCGGGGAAGGGTTTTTGCAAAACCGAGGCGAAGCCGAGGTTTTGCCGGGGGTGAGGGGGGCGCCGCCTGACTTTTGTAAAGCCGAGGCGAAGCCGAGGTTTCACTGGTCGGGGCGGGCATAATAAATAAGTAAAAATTAATAAATAAAAAAAAAATAAGTTATTTTAAAGTTTACTAACAAACGCTCTGATTAAGAGAGATAACATGCACAGAACTTGTCACAAATATTTAAACTCGATTTAATAACAGAATTAATTTTTTTAAGATGATTAAAAATTAGTTTTTAATTAGACGGCTAAGAAAGATTGAAATTTAATTATTAGAAGCTTGTAGAGTACATGGATTGTTTTATAAACAAATTGCTTTACTATAGCTGTCAAAATATAAAAGAAAGCAAATAAAATCTACAAAACTTTTATATTTTATTTTCTAAAATTTTTATATAAATTATTTGTGCAGTATTATATTATTAAATAGTTCATTAACAATAATCTAGTAAGAAATTATTTTTATTTATTTGACACTTTTTGGCAAGTTTATGTGTTGACATGTTACATACAGACGATGTTGTGACTGTTATATACAGTCGAAACTCGCTGTATAGGCTGGTCACACCACGAAAGTACGAAAGAAAGCGAGGCTCTGTGCTGCCGGCCAGAAAATATGCGTAGCGCGCATGCGTAGAGAGCCGGCTGAGCCGGCCATAAATGTGGCTTTTCCTGGAGTAAAGTGCGACCAGAATGAGCGTACTTTCGGCTAGGAGAGCAAGAAAAAAAATTTTAATTAATAGTTAATTTAAATTAATTAATTAATATTTAAAGAACATAAATTATCTAAATAATGAACCGTCACACTTCGCCACTGCATAAATTTAGCTTATAATAATGATGAGATGTATATCAATTTATCGGTCGTATACGGTGTAGGGGTTAGTTATCGGTCTGGCAAGCGCGCGTCTCGGGTTCGAATCTCGGTTAGAACTTGATTTTCACTTTATTTCTAGAGTTAGCGAAAGTTAGGTCCAAATAAAAACTCAAGCGGTCTTAGTATGTGTTAGCTCAACATTAAAAATGATATAAATAAAAAAAAAAAAAAAACTCGAAAAATTATTTTTTTATCATTTTACTAGCAACAAAATTATTATTATTATTATTATTATTAATTATTATTATTATTATAACAAATTCGGTCTCTAGTTGGGTTCGAACCTGCGCCCCTACACAGTACAATAAAAATAATAATTATTATTTACATTGTTATTATTATTCAACGCTTGGTTAGACTGTAATCTTGTCAAAATGGGACAAAACTCCACTATTTACAGTCAAACCAGGCGTCGAGTTTATATAGTATTTAACTGAGCAGTCTTTCCTGACCACTCAATTTTCTAAGAATTGTTGGAAAAAAAGTACAGCTTAAACGGGTCTGATATTTCGACTCATATAGATCATTAGGTCTATATGGTCATTCAATCACCATATAGATCATAAGACCATATAGGTCATTATAGGCCTACTCTAATGGCAACACATGCAAATTAAAGTTTATCTAATGAGATTTTATATAAACTTTACAATAAGTCAATAAGTTGTCCTAATAAAAAATTATTCCAGAGAAAAATGGAGAAAATTGAATTTTTTTAATTATGAAAATTTCAAAACGCCATTATTTCTCAACTTATAGATCAATTCAGCTCATCTTCGAACTTGATCTTAGTGATCGTCCAAAGTTTAAGTGTGTTGAGTTTTATTAAGATACGTTACAAATTTGAGATTCTATTGTCGTGAAAAGCAGCGTTATATCGTATTTATAAATAGTTATATATATACATATATTTCACTCTTGTATATACATATATTCCACACTGTCGAAACTAGTATTAAAAGTCTTCGATAGATGGCGCATGGCCGCAGAATTGTTCCTTTTTTAGATACTTGACTTTGAAGTGTTAAGTTAAAAAAAGAGTAGAATTTTTGTACTCTAATACAGAGTGTATCTGTTTTTGAATAAAGTTGTACAAACAACTAAAATGAATGTTGTATCAACTTTATTATAATTATAACTTTATTTATGAATTTTACTTACAATCAGGAAAACTTCCTTGATGGGAAGGTTCTATTTCAAGATAGAACTACATAATTTTCCACTTTATTAATTAGGTTTTTATTATTATTTGCTTGCATGAAATATCTTTTATCAAAAGCCGATAGAGAAAGCCTTGATCAACTGTCCGAACCTTACTGGTGGCTCCATGGAGATGCGAAACATATGGACGAGTTGCGAAGAAGATCCCGGCTCAAAAAACGTCACAGACCTATGCGATAATGACAACTGATCATGCAGACCGGATAAAATTACTGTTGATGTACCAAACATCTAAATGCACATTTGTAAATATGTAAATATTGTAAATATACTCCTACTCCTACACCTTCCCCACCATCCTGACTCCCTTCACCACCTCATGGTCCACTTTTTTGTAGGCCCCTGGGCCAGTTAATGTTTCATTGGTTTTTTTTATTATTTTATTTTCCAATGTTTTATTATTTATTTATTGATGACAGTAGACTTATCGCAATATCACTATATAACATTATTTAAACTAATTGCAATTTTTCAAGTACAGATAATGGAGAGACGCTTTACTTATGAAGACAACCATCTACAAATATACTGTTTAAGTTCTTTTAAGTTTATTATTACTTATATATGAAAAATGTAAAATGACATTATAAATAAACAACTTTTTCGAACCAAATAAAAAACCGCTATACTGCAGTATATATAATTAATTAACACTGTAAATGAATTAATACTGTAAATGAATTCTCACTTTCTTAATTAATGGTTGTAATTGTTCGCAACTTAGTTTTTTCAATTATTAAAATATTCTAACTCAAGAATTATTAATTTTAGCCAAATTTGATAAGAACAACTTTTTGATTAATGTGGTACATAATATATATAAAAAAAAAAAAAAATAATGAGACATCTTCAAAAAATATTTTCTAAATGAATGTGTTTTAACAATAAAAGGCCTGGGTTATATTTTCTTAAAAATTATTGCGATTTTTGGATTCAGTGGATTTAAAATACACAAGATAAAACTCATATCTTCCATATAATAGTTCCGAATTATAAAAAAAAGATAATGCTGCGCCTATATCCCTGATTAAGAAATCTAATTTGAAATGATTTATGATTTGAAATAATTTAAAAGCATCAATAAGGGTAGATTATTTGGAAAAATAATAATTATTCTTTCTATGACATGATGTCTTGGTAGTTATTGTGCATTCATCTATTTTCTACAATAATTCATTATAGGTTTTTTTTTAATTTTCACTACAGAAACTCTTCAATAATTAAATTACATAATACATTAAATTTTATGTACTTCAGTTTCAAATAACTCAAGCTTATCTTCACTCATTATTTTTTGTTCTATCTAAGATTGTAAGTAACGAAGATTTGATAAGGTTTTGTTAATATACTTTGATAACATACGTAGATTTTATCGGAAAAAGGATAAAATATTCAACGTATTAGAGTTTTAATTAGGTTAGGCTCTTCTTAGAGACCTATAGTTGCACCCAACCCCCTCCTTTCTCTTGTTTCTACGAAAAATTGGCAAGTAGAAAACAAAGTTATAAATTTATTTATCTTACAGATATACAAACTTTCCTTATTTACTCGGTATTATTATAATATTCTCGACAATAGAACAAAGAGATTATTATTGTAAGCCATTGTCTCTTTGAGTATAAATATCGGGAGCAACAGCACGAGTATCAGTTAAAGCTTGTGTTTTGACGCATTAATTATAATAACAATTCTCAAAGACAAGAAAAACACTAGCTTCTTTTTAAAATGGCTAAAAATTACCACACAGTTTTGCTATTAGTCTGCTTGTCATTCATGGTGATAGTTTCTTCACCACAAAATGCAGTTCAAGCAGATAAGCTCATTGGAAGCTGTGTTTGGGGTGCAGTTAATTACACTTCCAATTGCAACGCAGAGTGCAAACGACGTGGGTACAAAGGAGGACACTGCGGAAGCTTTGCTAATGTCAACTGTTGGTGCGAACAATAATCAATAGATACGATCAACTAAAAGCTACATTTCGGATTGTTGCTGACATCATTCATTCTACTGGCTGTTGAGTAAATCCGACAGTATATTATCAACTATTCTGAAGATAATCCAAGAAAATTTAATGGTAATTTAATTATGATTAGATTATAGTGGATATTTAGCTACTAATCTTTCAATCTTAAAAATTAGCAGAATGTAATTCTCAATTGAGAAACGCAGAGAAAAAGATAAAAATTGTTTCAACATCTTGTTGAATGAATTATTTTATTTACTCACAAGCAATTGTAAAATTAACTAAAACTGTAAATTTTTACAATTAAATAAATTTCAATTATCAACAATTTTCAGAGTTTAATCGATTATTATTTACTTTATGGTATATGTTTGTTGTTTTAGTTTTAGCAGATGTTAAGTATTGTAATTCAATAGACTAAGAACGAGGAAACTAATTTCATAGAAAAATTTGCATAATTTGTTTTTTAAACAGTTTAACGAAGAATTTTCAATGACATTTGTGTCTTTCATTAAATTTAGACAAACATGTGTCAATGTGCGACTAAATTGCGTAAAAATCAATTGGTTATATCACCAGTGATCATTATTGTTATCTTGATTATTGACTAAGCAATATTTAACGTCTTAGATTATCGATCTTTTCTTTATCACTTTGTATTAATAAAACATTTAACAATTAAAATATTTGCATTATTTAGCTACTGTTTATCAAGTAATTAAATGATAGTGATTAAGATAAAGTGAATTCAAATAACGAAAAAAATATAATAGTATTCCACACGTTACATTTTTGAAGTGTAACAATTCTTGGTAAAGTATATTATTTATGAAAAGAAAACTCTTCAAAAGAATTTCACTCAAACGACGCTTTTTACTGTTATTAAATAAGGTAAATATACAACAGCTAAGACTTTCTTTTTCAAAGATTAAAATACGTGATGGCAACGTTAGTTCAAGTTCTTACCGACTTTTTTCAATAATTCCGTTCAAACTAAAAATCAAAAGTTTGGAAAACTTAAAAGTGCACGCCTCATAAGGCTCATTTGAAAAAAAATATAAGTTGTATAATTGATTTTTAAAAGAAAAAAAATTTATTAAGTCTTTTCTTAGAGTATTTTTTGATTTTTTTTTTTTTTTTTCAATTATTGGCGTGGATTTTTCGTGTCAGGAGTTATCACGACTATATACAAACCAGCGTACAGACATCCGGACGTCCACTTAAAATGGTTTTTTAAACTCTTAAGATATGTGTTTTTCTATTAGAGATACATAGTAGTAGCTATGGCACGAACTACAACCAAATCAAAATATTGATTTTTACTATTTTTTTTAGGATTAAAAACTGGGAGAAAAGCCTCATCCTTAATTTTTAACTTCCCGCTAAAAATCTCAGATTTTCAAAAATCGGGAAGTTATTGTTTTCACCCCGTTTTACAAAAATCGAGTTTTCATCAGATCTCGACGTTTGAAGGTCACAGGAAGCGTCCCTGACTATTTTTACGATGATGTCCGTACGTCTGTATGTATGTGTGTGTATGTGTGTGTGTGTGTGTGTTTTTTTGGGGGGGGGGGAATCCTTTTTACGGATTCTAGGCATAGATGTTGGCCCGGATATGTGGCGACTCGACGCAGCGTCATACTAAAACTCGACGCTGACGCCCCTACCCACTAAACCCTAAACCCCTTTCTCTTCTATCCTCTGATCCCCCATGGTACCGCCGTAAGGCATTTCTTCACGGGGGGAGGAATTAGCTGCCGCTCTTCCTTCTGGGGGCTAAGATGTTATCTTCCTTCTAGATTCTGTCTTTCGCTCTTTTCCTCTCAATGGATCGAGACTCAGTAAGCACTTTTGTAGCAAAAATGCTTATGGCGTTCCAGGCAGCTTCTGACGACAACATTACCTCTACTATTGACTCTGGTTGGGTCCTCTTCTTCAGAATCTTCTCTAACTCATTGCGCTGTTGGTTGAAACATGGACAC